TTTTCTTCCCCCTTTTTTTTTTTTTATTGCGTTGTTTGTTTGGTGTTGAGTTTTATGAGTTCTTTATATATTTTGGAAATTAAACCTTTTTTAGAGCTACTGTTTGCAAATATCTTCTACTTGGTTGGCTGCCTCATTGTTTTGTTGTCACTTTCTGTTGCTCTGCAGAAGCTTTCTAGTTTGATATAGTCCCGTTAATTTATTTTTGCTTTTACTTCCCTTGCCTTTGGGGTCAAGTTTATAAAATGTTGTCTATGACCAAGGTCCACAAGATTGATACCTATATTTTATTCTATGTAACTTACTGTTTCAGGTCTTGTATTTAGGTCTTTGATCCATTTTAAATTAATTTTTGTACATGGGGATAAACTTCAATCCAGTTTCATTCATTTGCATGTGACTTTCCAATTTTACCAGCACCATTTATGAAGAGACTATGTTTACTCCATTGTATGTTTCTGGCTCCTTGTCAAAAATTACCTGTCCATATACATGTGGTTTTATAACTGGGATTTCTATTCTGTTCCATTGATCTGTGTGTTTGTTTCTCTGCCAGTACCATGTTATTTTGATTATAACTCTGTAATATAATTTGAAGTCAAGTTGCTTGATACTTCCAGCTTGGTTCTTTTTTCTCAGGATTGCTTTAGCCATAAGGTGTCTTTTGTGGTTCCATACAAATCTGATGATTTCTTGGTCTATTTTTTAAAAATGACATTGGGATTTTGATGGGGATTGCATTAAATCTGTATACTGCTTTGGGTAATATGGCTATTTTAACTATGTTGATTATTCCAATCCCTGAACACAGAATATAAATATTTATTTTTTTCATTTTGATGTGTCTTTTTAAAATCTCTTTTAGTAAGGCTTTATAATTTTCAGTATCTAGGTCTTTTGCGTTCTTTGTTAAGTTTATTCCTAGGCATTTTATTCTTTTGTTGCAATTGCAAAAGGAATTTTTGTTTCATTTCTTGTTCTGAGGTTTTGTTGTTAGTATACAGGAAGGCAATGGATTTTTGCACAATAATTTGTATTCTGCAACTTGACTGTATTTGTTTAGTTTTTTAAATAATTTTTATTGTTGAAAATACTAAATATGTCTCCGTTTCCCCGATTGACTTCCTCCAACCCGCCCCTGTCCCCCCACTCCCCACCCCATGCCTTCAGCACCCTATTGTCTGTGTCTATAGGTTATGCAAATGTGACTACAAGGTCTTTTGTTGATTACCTTTCAACCACGCACCCTCCCCGGCCTTCCCTCTGAGATTCCACACTCTGTTCCATGCTTCCATGTCTCTGGATCTATACTGTTCATCAGTTTATTTTGTTCATTAGATTCCACATATGAGTGCGATCATGTGATACTTGTCTTTCTCTGACTGACTTATTTCACTTAGCTGGTACTCTCCAGGTCCCTCCATGCTGTATCAAAGTGTAACAGATTCTTCTTTTTTACTGCTGCATAGTATTCCATGGTATAAATGTACCACAGCTTTCTTATCCACCCATCTACTGATGGGCACTTGAGGTGTTTCCCAACCTTAGCTATTGTAAATTGTGCTGCTATGAACATAGGGGTGCATACATTCTTTCTGACTGGTGCTTCGGGTTTCTTAGTATATATTCCTAGAAGTGGGATCACTGGGTCAAATGGCAGTTCCATATTTAATTTTTTGAAGAAATGCCATACTGCTTCCCATAATGGTTGCACCAGTCTGCATTCTCCCCAGCAGTGTACTAGGGTTCCCTTTTCTCCATATCCTTGTCAGCAGTTGTTATTTATTGATTTGTTGATGATAGACATTCTGACAGGTGTGAGATGGTATTTCATTGTCGTTTTGATTTGCATCTCTCAGTTGATTAGTGACTTTGAGCATTCTTTCATATGTCTCTTGGCCATCAGTACGTCCTTATTGGAGAAGTGTTTGTTTAGGTCCTTTGCCCATTTTTTAATTGGATTGTTTGTCTTCCTTTTGGTAAGTTGTATGAGTTCCTTATATATTTTGGATATTAACCCTTTATCAGATGTATCACTGCCAAATATGGGCTCCAATGCAGTGGGCCCTCTTTTTGTATTATTGATGGTTTCTTTTACTGTGTAGACACTTTTCATTTTGATGTAGTTTCATTTGTTTATTTTATCCTTAGTTTTCTTTGCCTTACATATGCCCATACTCCTCAAAATATTTCAGAAAATCCAAGAAGAAGGAATAATTCCAAACTACCTTTATGAGACCTACACTATCTTAATTCCAAAGCCAGAGAAAGACACTACAAAGAAAGAAAATTACAGAACAATATCCCTGATGAACATAGATGCTAAAATCCTCAACAAAATATTAGCAAATCACATTAAGTAATATATTAAAAAGATCATACACCATGACAAAGTGGGATTTATTCCAAGGATGCAAGACTGGTACAATATCCACTAATCAATAAATGTGATACATCACATAAACAAATTGAAAGACAAAAATCACATGGTCATATCAATAGATGCAGAAAAAACATTTGACAAAATCCAACACCCAGTTTTCATAAAACTCTCAGCAAAGTGGGAATAGAGGTAGCAGATCTCAACATGATAAATGTCATATATGACAAACCTAATGCCAAAATCATACTCAATGGGTAAAACTAAAACCATTTCCCCTAAGAACAGGAACCAGACAGAGATGTCCACTTTAACCACTCTTATTCAACATAGTACTGGAAGTCCTAGCCACAGTAATCAGACAAGAAGATTGCCTTGGGTGATATGGACATTTTAATGACGTTGATTCTATCAATCCATGAACACGGTATGTTCTTCCATTTCTTTATGTCTTCCTCTATCTCTTTTTAAAATGTCCTGTAGTTTTCTGAGTACATGTCTTTTACTTTAGTTAAATTTATTCCTAGGTATCCTAATTTTTTTGGTGCAATGGTAAATGGGATTTTTTTCATTTCTCTTCCTGTGAGTTCATTATTGGTGTATAAAGAGACCATAGATTCCTGGATGTTAATTTTGCATCCTGCTACATTGCCAAATTCATTTATTAAGTCTAGTAGTTTTTTGAGGGAGTCCTTGGGTTTTCTATGTATAGTAGCAAGTCATATGCAAATAAGGACAGTTTTACTTCTTCTTTTCCAATTTAGATGACTTTTATTTCTTCTTGTCTGATCACTATGGCTAGCAATTCCAGTACTATATCAAACAGGAATGTTGAAAGTGGGCATCCCTGTCTTGTTCCTGTTCTACTTTCTCCAGATTCCTGTGATTATTCAGGGTCTTTTCTTTTTCCAGATGAATTTTTGGAGAGTTCTTTCTAGGTCTGTGAAGTATGCCACTAGTATTTTAATGGGGATTACATTGAATCTAGAAATTGCTTTGTGTAGTATGGACATTTTAATGATGTTGATTCTACCAGTCCATGAACACAGTATGCTGTTTCATCTGTTTATGTCTTTCTCTATCTCTTTTGTCAATGTCCTACAGTTTTCTGAGTACAAGTCTTTTACCTCCTTAGTTAAGTTTATTTTTAGGTATCTTAATTTTTGTGTACAATGGTATATGGAATTGATTTTTCCCCATTGTTATCTGAGAAGATGCTTGGTGTGATTTCTATCTTCCTGATGTTGAAGAGACTTTGCC